CTAGACCTAATTCTGTAGATTTTGTTTCTATTCATACTATAGTATTGTTGTAATTGTATAGATTTTTACCCAGCTAGACCTAATTCTGTAGATTTTGTTTCTATTCATACTATAGTATTGTTGTAATTGTATAGATTTTTACCCAGCTAGACCTAATTCTGTAGATTTTGTTTCTATTCATACTATAGTATTGTTGTAATTGTATAGATTTTTACCCAGCTAGACCTAATTCTGTAGATTTTGTTTCTATTCATACTATAGTCTTGCTGTAATTGTATAGATTTTTACCCAGCTAGACCTAATTCTGTAGATTTATTTTCTATTCCTACTATAGTCTTGTTGTAATTGTATAGAAATTTACCCAGCTAGACCTAATTCTGTAGTGTGTTTTTTCTATACCTACTATAGTCTTGCTGTAATTGTATAGATTTTTACCCAGCTAGACCTAATTCTGTAGTGTGTTTTTTCTATACCTACTATAGTCTTGCTGTAATTGTATAGATTTTTACCCAGCTAGACCTAATTCTGTAGGGTGTTTTTTCTATTCCTACTATAGTCTGGCTGTAATTGTATATATTTTTACCCAGCTAGATCTAATTCTGTATAATTCCTATAATTTTAAGACTCTCCATAATTATTTCTAAACGTTTGGTACTTCTTAATATAGACACTCCCTGCTATTTCAAGCCGTTTTATCTGAAATCGGTTATACCAATTAAGTAAGAAATTATATTTGATTTACCCTGAATATGTATTCTGTTTCTGTGTGTGTTTCTTTAGAAACCAGTCTATTCTGTGTCTGTGTGTATGTCTTTAGAAACCAGTCTATTCTGTGTCTGTGTGTATATGTCTTTAGAAACCAGTCTATTCTGTGTCTGTGTGTATATGTCTTTAGAAACCAGTCTATTCTGTTTCTGTGTGTATATGTCTTTATAAACCAGTCTATTCTGTGTCTGTGTGTATATGTCTTTAGAAACCAATCTATTCTGTGTCTGTGTGTATGTCTTTAGAAACCAGTCTATTCTGTGTCTGTGTGTGTATGACCTTAGAAACCAGTTTATTCTGTGTGTGTGTATGTCTTTAGAAACCAGTCTATTCTGCGTCTGTTTGTATGTCTTTAGAAACCAGTTTATTCTGTGTGTGTGTATGTCTTTAGAAATTAGTCTATTCTGTGTCTGTTTGTATGTCTTTAGAAACCAATCTATTCTGTGTCTGTATGTATGTCTTTAGAAACCAGTTTATCCTGTGTCTGTGTGTATGTCTTTAGAAACCAGAAACTTTATCCAACTTCTTCCTGTGTACATTTTGTTTGTCTGTTTTTTTGCCAGCTGATCATAAAAATTTATACAATTTTGCATGTGGAGAAGAGTAAGCTGTTGCCTGAGGAACAAAAAATATGTTCGCCTGAGTGAATACAACTCTCGCCGTCTGCGACAAGATAGATAGCATTGAACGTGATTTTATTTGATTTTTCATTATTTGGTGATTTTGAGGTAATTGTGCGTGTAATTGCAACTGTGCATGAACCTCGACTTCAACGTCCTTTTTATTTGTTAAAATGACAACCGTCTCAACATTTTATGATTAACAAATATGAGCAAAAACACAGTGAAACAATTGAATTTCAAGTAATTATGGGTTAATCTATATTAATAAAAGAGCCTGTCTGCGTGTGTATGTGATTGTGTATGACTGCTATAGCTCCAAGAAGAAAGAACTTAGGGACCTGAAACATTCAACGCTTAATAAGTGGAGTCTTACGATTATTATTATTTTTTAGATTGCCCCCGAGAGGCACAGCGGTATGTTTGCGGACTTACAACGTTAGAAACTGGGTTTCGATATCCGTGGTGGCCAAAGCACAGACAGCCCATTGTGTAGCTTTGTGGTTAATTACAAACAAACAATTTTTTTAGATTTGATTCAAAAAAATATGGCCAATTTTTTGCCTTATAATTTTGCCCTATAGCCATTAAGCTCCATATTTCTGCTTCCTTAAGGTCTATAGAAATGTATCATTTTTTTTTCTAATTCTCATTTGCTGAATAAACAATACATGGAGGTTTTATGCCAAATACTGTTGAAAAAGAACAAAAATTTGGGAAAAATGAACATATTTTCCAAAAATGAACAGAATTCAATATGGTATGGGGCTAAACATTTCTTAGCCAGTCAAAGGCAACACGGGGGGAAACAAAGGCATCAAGACCTCACAGGACCCATGGAATAGACCCTCAGAATACTAGATTTTAAATATATAAAGTTCGGGAAATGACATCAAACAAAACAGTTAAAGAATAATGACGCATGTTAAAAATTCAAACACAAAAATGGGAAGAAAAATATGAATCAGAGCCTATTGGAGAATTCCGAGAATGAAAGGAATTCAAATAAAAAGACAGGAAGGAAAAACGAATCTGATAAGCTAAATTAAAACGATTTACTTTTAAAAAGAGTTGAATTGAATTAAATTCTGGAAATGGCAACATACAAATCAATTAAAGGATCGGTGCATTGTATAGAAGTAAATAAAATAATGGAGACGTTTAACTGGTACATTGAGACCTCTGTGAATCATGAAGGGACCTTAAAATCTCGCAGCGGAGCGTGGGTATTTTATACTAATCTCTAATAAGATGGCAGCACTGCCTTTCTGATGTAGATAAGTAGAATACTTTGTGTAAACTTCTGCATGTCAAAAGTTTGAACCACTAACTGTCGTGAACTACAAACTACCAGGATGAAAATGTTTTATATACTTTACACTTGGGCCCCAAACAATATGAAAACGTCCTCTTATATACATACATACACACACATTAACTATCTTTTTACTGACACACTATACAAAATTAAGTTTAAAACTATAGATTAAAGCAAAATTAAAACGAAATGGCTAAAATCTTGCCATACTTCGACACAGTGTGTTTTCAGTGGTTATTTTGTGCTGTAAATCATTTGAAGTCAATTAACCATGTTTACGGTAGTAACACGTGAGATTCTGGTGGTCCAGCTGTACTGGTACTTATGTTAATGTATTTATTTACAACATATCACTAAAAACCGAGCTGGATTTTTTCTTTTTTTTAACTTCAGTTCGTATTCAAAACTCTTCTTAAGTGAATTCATTTTAGTTTTTTTGACAATTATTCAATAAACTACATTCAATTTTTACATTACACATCCACTTTATCATAATCAGTTCTTACATTACACATTCAGTAGGACATAATCAGTTCTTACAATACATATCCAATAGACCAAGTCAGTTCTTACATTACACATCCAGTAGAACATAACCAGTTCTTACATTACACATCCAGTAGAACATAATCAGTTCTTACATTACACATCCAGTAGAACATAATCAGTTCTTACATTACACATCCAGTAGACCATAATCAGTTCTTACAATACATATCCAATAGACCAAGTCAGTTCTTACATTACACATCCAATAGACCAAGTCAGTTCTTACATTACACATCCAGTTGAACATAATCAGTTCTCACATTACACATCCAGTAGACCATAATCAGTTCTTACATTACACATCCAGTAGAATATAATCAGTTCTTACATTACACATCCAGTAGAACATAATCAGTTCTTACATCACACATCCAATAGACCAAGTCAGTTCTTAGATTATACGTACAGCAAGTAAAAGTGAGTCCTTACATTACACAAGCTAACTTTTGCCAATGTTTCTATCAAGATAAGTATTTTTAGCTTACAACAGAGGAAAAGAAGGTTGTTTAAAGCATAAAGACACATTTTGAATAATTGGTCACAGTTCATTATACAATTTAACTAATAAAAACATATATTTAAAGTTTTTCACCTTTTTTTGTAAGTGGTTTCTACAAGATATAATTCAAACATATTCATACCTCTATCCTCCAGATAATGAAAAACGTGGAATTCTTTGGAATGTTGCGGAACGCTGGATCAACTTGGGACATCGTGGTATAGCTATAAATACATAAATTTATACTGATATAAACTGAACACTTCAAGTAACTACTACTATTACTCTAACTTGTCCAAACACCGAGATACATAAATACAAAATGTAAAAAATAAAATTTCTCTTGAAACGAGTATAGCGTCCTCTATGTAGAACCACACACACAAACATTGGACCCTTAAAGGGCCATCTATGTAGTGCTACACACTGAATCCTTCGAATATGTGTAGAGTTTGGTTTGCGGTAATGAAACGAGTATAGCGCCCTCTATGTAGTATCACCCCCCGAATCCTTGTAACTTTCCTAATTAAAACATTCATTTCGAAATTCTGTTAGTATAAGCTGAAATGTTCCTATGTCATTTTGCTTTTGCTTTTCTTTCTTGTAATATAAAATAGGACAAAGTAAAACATAACATTTTACCATTATAAATATTTAGGCTTCTGTAATAGTGCATATACGAATCACAATGTAAATAACTTTCAATAAAAACTTCTTATGAGCATGAGAATTTGTCTTAAAAGTAAGTATGTTCATACAAAATAGGCTTAACAGATTTTATGAAAGCGCCCCATTCAAAATAACCAAACTAAATTGAACCAGCTCTCGCTCGTAAAACCAAAAGTAAGTTAAATATCGTGCTGAACTCTGTTATAAATAAGGAATACCGATGTAACATACGTAAGACAAATAATAGTATTTATCAAAATAATTCATTTTATCCCAATAGGTTATATTACTGTAATCAGTTCTTTGAATCCTGATTAATAGTTTACCTATATAAGATATTTTATGGCAGATTCTCATTCCTCTGTCGCATCAATTAAGAGACCTGGACCACCTAGGTGATATATGTATATTATCTAGATATATGCTTATCACCATGCAGTTTCGATTTTTTTAAAACTTCGAGCATTGTGTTAGGCCTACATGGGATCGAACTTGTCTCACATTGGTTGTTAACCTGGTCGTTTTAACTTGGTTTAATATAATGAGAAAATCGATCAACTGTATTTTCACAAGTGCCAAATTTTATCAGCTAGCTATCAGACAAGCACGAGCAAGATAAATACTGACAAAGCGTCATCTGTTATTTACAGACGAGATAAAAAAAAGTAGATAGACTTCATTAATAATAATAAAAAAACCTAAGCTTATCACTAAGTTCCTCAAAACACAACTAATAACATGGATTACATTTATTGTTTGTTATAGAAGATTCTGACAGGTTGAACTTTGGAAAACGTCATACTTTTAGGAGCAAGAAAAATAAATAAACAAAACATGAAAAATTGAAAAGTTGTATGTTTTATCTATAAATTTTTAACGATAACTTATGGTTAAAACAAGCTAAGAGTATTGTTTAGAACTGTTTGTTTGTTTGTTTATTTTTGAATTTTGCGCAAAGCTACACGAGGGCTATCTGCGCTAGCCGTCCCTAATTTAGCAGTGTAAGACTAGAGGGAAGGCAGCTAGTCATCACCACCCACCGCCAACTCTTGGGCTACTCTTTTACCAACGAATAGTGGGATTGCCTGTCACATTATAACGCCCCCCACGGCTGAAAGGGTGAGCATGTTTGGTGTGACAGGGATTCGAACCCGCGACCCTCAGATTGCAGTTTAGAACTGAAAAAAACTTTAAAATGTAGCTAATTTATACCAGTTATTAAATATGAGTAGGTAATTTTATTAAAAAAGACGAATCCCCAGAGAGAGAAAACTTATAATTAATAGAATGTATTAATTTATCATTCCGGTGCCCTCGCTATTAGCGATATTTTCGACCGTAATCCCAATAATATCTCTCAGTCATTGATGTCCTTAAGAGAGCTAGACCATCTAGATAAAAAGAGTAGATAGTGTTGACAGAAAATGATTTATGAGCTTAAGTACCATGTATACATGAATCTTATATGTACACTGTACTTCATTTCGGGCCAAACTTTAACCTTAATGTTTTTTAAATGTTACTGAAATGGATATGCCACTGTTAGTTAGTTTCTGATACTAGCGTAAAGCGTTTTAGACTAGAGGAAAGTTTGTTTGTTTGAAGTTAAGCACAAAGCTACACAATGAGCTATCTGTTCTCTGCCTACCACGGGTATCGAACCCCAGTTTCTAGCGGTGTAAGTCCACAGACATACCGCTGTGCCACTTGGGGAGGGGGGCTAGAGGAAAGACACCTAGTCTATAGCATCATCCGCAAACTCTTGGACTAATCGAATAGTGGGCTCTCACCGTTACTATTATAACACACTCACAACCACAAATTATGGAACGCGATTTTACGAGAACAGGACGTGAACGTTGGATCATCTGATTTACAGTCCGGCATGCTAAGTACTAGGCTACGCCTCGCCCACGCTGCTGTTAGTATTGTTCATCTTTTTCAAAGACAGCATTTTATTTAGTTACTTCCATCTCTGATGCCATTGTTTATTCCCGATTTTGCCATTGTTTATCCCGATTTTTGCCATTGTTTATTCCCGATTTTGCCATTGTTTATTCCCGATTTTACCATTGTTTATTCCCGATGTTTCTTCTTTTTTCTTTTTTTAGGGAAAATTATTGTTGTTTATTTAACTTCAAACTTTGATCCGCCTTGCGATAGTAGGTTTAAAAGCCATCTCTAATTCTTCCCCTGAACTATATATATATATACATAATTCAGTAGACCTATGAGAATGTTAAATTACAATTTCAACTGTTTTTGCTCAGTATAGAAATGCCGACTCAAAAACAATCTCTCTATGGCTCAATGCTTCTGCGTCTACTTTCATAATATTATCATTCCGCGTTATCTACCCATTGTTCCTCAGCCGTTCACTATGGAACGGTAGTTATCAACAATTCAAGCTCTGGCAGTACTTCCCACTAAGAACAATGACACAGAGTTTACAGTCATAAAGAAATGTTTCGTCTCAGTGAATATGACAAGATACCAGTATATATATATTTTTTTCCTTTTGATAAAATACATCGATCTCACTGACGTCCTAAAAGTTATTTATCATCTTTTACTGAAACGTTACGCCTTACTAAAATTGTCTTTATATAAAAAGATTGTAGAACTACTGGCTGTGATTATATTGTATCTTTTCAACCATTTGTTTCCTTATAAAACGAAAATGACTGATATATATAAAGGAAAATTTCTATATTTCTATATTTTCCCTCAAATTAAAAGTTCGGCGGTGCTTGTTCGTGGAGAAGGAGGCTGTCTAACGAAAAAAGGAAATAAAAGTATGAAATTTATTAATTGATTGTCTTATAGTCTTGAGAAGATAATATCTACTATTCAGTAGTTTGTTTTTAAACTTGTCATAAGTTTGACACTTGTTGTGAGAAGAGGAAATTCACTATACACTATCGAAACCCGATTTTTAGCGTTGTAAGTCCGCAGACATACCGCTGTGCCACTGGTATCGAAACTCGGTCCTCAGCGTTGTAAGTCCGCAGACATATCGCTTTGTCACTGGTATCGAAACCCGATTTTTAGCGTTGTAAGTCCGCAGACATACCGCTGTGCCACTGGGGCTCTACTTTGGAACAAAATGCTCGCGCAATATTTCACAGAATAGACTACAGTTACCTGATGATGGCCACACGAGTGGTCGAAACGTTGTAATTATGGTAAATAAAAATTTAAAAAATCCACTCAAAAGCTGTATCTCTAGACTCTTATTTATCATAAGTTTTCTTGCACAGGCTGAATTTTCTTCATAAATAAGTCCCACTTTCTTCACAGATATAACCCATATGAAGAGATACAGTTTTATAAATTGCAGCTGAAAACTTCGTTAACAAGTTCTCCCACCCCAGTAACCCTTTCCACACACCACACTAATGGACTGTGTGATCTGATTTCACTGCTACTTGGCGCCTCGCCTTTGCTAAGGCCTGCACTGTAGGTTAACATCCGAACTGGCTCTTTAGTATTGTAACTAGTACTGCCACGTGTGAGGTTTAGTAGATTTCAGGAACTAAACTTAGAAACTCACATTTAGTATATCGTTAAATAAGTATAGAGTGAACTAAGGTTAAAAATGGACAGATGATACTGGCTTCCGTAAAACGTGGTACGAAAGATGATGCAAAATGGGAGAAAGATGGCATCATTTAATCCCAAAAGGAAAGAAAAAATACAGACAAATTGTATGTTTATGATTTTTTGAGTAGGCCTAAATAAACATTATTTCCTCGATAGGGGGCCAAAGGCTGCGTGGAGGGGTCACCTGTTTTAACCACTCGCACCATTATACAGTAATGTGTTGTCTGTCAGTCAGTCAGTAGACAGTAAAATGTCGTCACATAAAGAACGTTTAACGTTGCAATTTGTATTATCGTGACGTCAATAAAACGTGTGCATGCCTTAAATCACGAGAAGAATTATGCATTAGGTTAAAACACAGAATGACATATGAACTTCAAAAGCAAGAAATACAAATATTTGTTATTCTTAATTTTGGTTTTATTTACTCTAGAAACAGAACACTTTCGGGGACCCTGCAGAAGTATATCTAGTATCTACTCTGCGTTAATAATGGTATTATTTTTATCAGTCATTACTTCTAGAGCTTATTACTGGCGTCACTTTTTCCTCACTCTGTATTATTACTGGACATCGTGTACAGTATGTCATTACGTCTGACAACGCAATGTGGCAATGAATTTGTAATAACCGGTTTGAAGTAATGTATATCGCAGAACGATAACAGGTTACTTGTTTGTTTTGTTCAATTTCCTGCAAAGCGCACTAACTACCATGTTGTGTCAATCCCAACAAAAGATATTTCTATTTATTTGTTCCGCTATATATACATTTATTCGGCAACATTTCAGAACACAAATAATTCTTACTACGTTCAACTGGTATGTACAATGAATGGGCTGTCTGTACTGTACCCACCACGGGTATCGAAATCCGATTTATAGCTTTAGAAGTCTCCAGACGTACCGCTGGGCCGCTGGGGGGTCTTATTTGTGAGAGGGAAAAAAATTGACAAT